GGTCCGGACCAAACAACTGGACCAAAGGACTTTCCTGGTCTGAATACACCCTTAGAGACTCAGAAATGATTTAAAGATGTTATGCTGATGAAAACAGACATCTAGTGGTCAACTGGAGCAACTACATGGAAAACTTTACCATGCTCTTATTTTGAAGTGAAAATAGTTTCCTGTACTCCGTGCTTTCGTTTCCCGTCACAAATCAAATCCGTCATGTACCCAGAATKCATCGCTTCAGTTTTCAAAGAAACAGTTTTAAAATTTCTTTATTGATGCTTCTTTAATGAAAAATCTACAACAAACAAAAGAAAAAGACAAAGAATCAGCTGAACTAGCAATCCTCAACAACTTTTTAATTTTTACACCAGGAGCCAAAGGTCTGTTTCAGGAAGTCACATCCCCAGCAGTTGGAGCTTGTAGGATTAAGCTGTACAACGGTTCATACACTGCTAGTTGGCAGTGTTGTGCATATATTGTACACGAATTTTTGCCAGCTAGTAAGTGTCAAATTCAACTTGTGTTTTAAAATTAGCTTCCGCTAGTTTTTCTATGGCATAAGTGCTTTTCAAGTTGCGGACCTAAATATTTTCATAAGCGCTTTAGAAATTGCGGAGCTAATTTTTGGATTAGCGCTGCCCACCACTGATTGCATCTTTAAAGCTATGTCCACAACCCACTATGTGTTATGGATGAACACAGGTCCCAGGGATCGATAGACTGACTTGCAGACCTGGTGATCATCGACAGAAAGTGTGAAATGTGTATTTAAAGTCCATGTCAAGTACATGGCGCATGCCTGAATGACTCAAAGAATGGAAAAAAAACTTGGGTTGTTGGCTCATGGAACACACGTAAAGTGAGATGTCAGTGCACCTGAGTAAAATTTAGTCCATCTGCACAAGGCCTCACTAACCAAATTCTCCAGAAGGGGATTTTATTGTCTTCTGAAGTGAATTTAAAAAGCGTGCAAACACATTTTCACACACATATAAAAGTTGATGAGTATTGTAGCCCAGTAAGCATTTATCTACACAAAAACACACATGCAGATCCACGTCATATAATAAGATTCAGTATTTTATTCCTACCTTGGGTCCTTTTGAATCGAGTCAATGGAAGGTGAACGCTGCAGGGTCCCTTCAGGAGGCAGGGCTGGTCCAGACTTGCTGTAGGGAGATTCCACCACCGAGGGGCAGTACTGCAGGGTGCGGTACGGGTCCGCCACATAAGGATCGGACCCGTATACGTCTCCGCTTGAAGTGTACCCGGGTCCCACTGTGGCGTAGTTATTGGTTCCGCCACGGCCGTAGCCTCCCGTTCCTGTGCCGTGACTTCCTGTGCGCTGCAAAGAGGTGGAGTCGACACCGGGGGAGGAAGGTGCTAGGACAGGGAAGTAGGGACAAAGGACATAACTTAGGTCATGGACCTGGTTATGGACACGCAAGATCAGGTCTACAGAGAAGAGGAGGAGAGGAAAGGAAAGGAAAGGCGAAGAGGCAGGCACAGAGATGAACAGGTTATGAAAAATAACCTCATATGGACTGAGGAACATTTAAAATGGAGTTTGGACTATAATCCACCATCAGATGTCTTGACATTTCAACAACATATTGATGATATTTTGCTGTAAAAAGTATTTGTTAAGTTCCATAAGATTTCCCCAACAAAGTGAAGTGCAATAAAACATTTGTTTCATCGTTTAAATGACTCATCAGCCTGTTGTCACGAGGCAATAAAAATTATGACATTACCCAGAGTTTTTTTTTTTTTTTTTTTTTTTGTGGAGTGCTTCTACATTTCCCTTTGGAGCTATTTTAACATCAAATGGAAGTCAGTTTGGGGATGTGAGCAGCTTGCACAGGCGTGTAAGCCGTACCCCTCGCCTCTCTGATGGATTGACGACATATAAAGATGCTAATGTGAGACTAAAGGCCTCTCTGGCTGGTAAAACAGTGAGCCAGAACGTGTGAAGTGGGGATACAGCCCATCCGTCACTGTGACCAAGTTATACGTGGACCTAAATCCTCACATGTAAAACCGCTATAAACCCGTTCGACAGGATCCAAGTGATAACTCACAGCCCTGGGATCAATAGGCGGCCACGTGATTAACACTTGAACACAGACCAATGGGTCTCCTCTTACAAACAGGATGGACCTTTAAAGCAAGTCTTCTTGAGAAACTACACACACTCTCAACAAACGCAAACACGAGAGGAAGAGGAGTTTTTAAAATGGGAAAGGACTGTGGGTTGAGTGCATGTAGGCGTGCCCCAAGGTTGAGCGTCTCATCATTATGTGACCGACACACTTGCTCTTTAGAGCTGTCTTGAGAGCTGGCATTTACTTGACCTTCACAGCGCTCTTATCACTCTCTTTTTCACCTTTCCCTCTCTTACACACACTCACATAGACATCTGACCTCACTCATCTATACGATACATGAGGACACTCCCCCTTATGGAAATTCTTATCTTTTCCAGACATGAAGCTTTTTGGATGATTTAGGTATTTTGGCTTAAATTCGTAGCTGACATTTTAAATCTGATTGACAAAAATTAGAGAGGATAAAAAAGGTTTTTAGGCCTGGTATTCCTTGAAGGACCTCACATCATTCGCTACATTCATATCAGTTTGATGATGAAAAGAGAACAAATTCTAACAATTTTGGCCAAACTTTGTAAATGGCGTTATGCACAATTTCATGAATTAGTTGTTTGGATGAGTCCCAGCTACTACCACACCAAATTCTGACCCAATGGGGACCTACGCTCAGGCTATTTTTTTAGAACGAGTCACRTGACTATGTCCGCTGGATACTGATGGGCGTACAAACTCTTGTACCCGCTCCGTTTAGCTGTGTTTACACTTAAATACATTTGGGATATCCCTAACCGGTAAAATTACCAACATTTTTCAACAATTCGTCTCACTTTGCAAGTCTGTCGTAGACCACGACCCTTGAGCCAATCTTTCAAATGAACTTTCCAGTGATTCCTGAAGTCGGATATGTCAAATATTTGCTCTAAAAATGTCTTTATCTGTTATGGTATCAACACCGAATCTCTGCAGAATCCACCACAATTTTCTGGTCATTTGCGAGTGTGGCAGAAGCAAATAATATAGCAATATAACTTTTGCTGGGTTGCAGTCACGTGACCAGGATGATGCCTGAAACTCAGATGGGGGGGGGGGGCAGGAAGTGATTTTTGCTCCTGTTCAAAACAAAGCAAAATGGATCACGGCGAGTACACTAATGCCCAATATGGAATGGTGCAGATGAGATATTGTGAAAAAATATGCGTACATTTAGGATAAGAAAAAAGACTTGTCTTGTAATCGGGAGGATTTACCCAATGTCGAGGCGAATGGCAAACTATCAGGTGCTGCAGACTTCGTATTATATGACRAGCCATATGAAAGCTTTCAAAAGCCTCGAAGCTACAATTATTTTGTTTAAGGTTGGGTCAAACATTTAGGATCAAAGGAGCTTTAAGTGGCTGTCAACTTGTTTCTGCCAGGRTAAGTAGGAAGTTGTGCTATTTTAAGTAATTATCCCATTATAACAATGCTATCGCTATCGCTAACACTAAAGACAAGTTAACCTGTAATTTCTATGTGCTTGGATCTACTTGTAAATAATTGATGTAGCCAAAATCAAGCAACAGTCCAATAAAATATCTGAAAATACGATTTAACAATACGATCTTTACCTGTTAGAAAGTGGTCACGGCAAACTCTAGCATTGTTTGTTTCTGCACCTCCTAGTTTCAGKCAAACATTGTTGATCCACCTTTTTTCTGTATGCTTTTTAAAACTTACTCCCTTGTGACAATACTTTCAGAACAGAAAAAAAAAAAAACATATCTTTCTCCTGAGCAGAGCGGTTGCAACAACCATACAAGGCACATAATTTAGGCATTTTGACTTTGAATCAGCAGAAAGAAACAGGGCTGCATTTACTTCCTGCCCCCCGTCTGCATTTCATGATGTCGATACATCATCTGCAACCCGGCAATACCTGCAAAGAGTTGAGTTGATTAGAAAAGTTAATCAGGTGTAGATGTTCCCCAAATTATTAGTTTTTGAGTTTCAATAAACTTTGTTCAGTGATTTTTAAGATTTGTTGCTAACAGACAAAGTTGAATCTTACAGTTATTGGAAAAGTTTAAACACAAAAACATCTGAGACATAAAGAACAGAGAAAAAATAGTAAAAACCCAACAGAAGAAGGGAGGAAAGAGGAAGGTAATGGAGCAGAGTTACTCCCATCAGAAGCGAATCTCTGACTTCTCTATACTCTTTAAATAGTGTCAGCGGTGAGTCTGTCCTTCTCAACGTCTCATTAGTAGCAGGGGCTTTAGGCTAACTCTACCAGTTTCAGTGTGCAGTCACTGAGAGACATGACACCCAAATTGGACAAAGCCTTGAGCGAAATATAGGGTGAAGGAAGAGCAAAAGGAGGAAAAACATGGGAAAAAGTGAACCGTCATTTTATTTTCTTTTTACGTTGGCTTGTGCTGTAACCAGTGATAATGAATATTTTTGGCTACAAGCTGAAAAAGGGGAGGAGGAAAATAATGGGGAAGATGTGGAGAGACTGCAAGGGCCTGGAATGAGACATCTCCAAACCTTTGTTTGAATTTACTTTTAGACCTTTTATCGGTTTTATTTTAATTTCACATGATGTCATTTATCTATCCTGTTTATACTCTTCTGTTTCCACTTCACTTAGTGATTTAATACATTTCTCTTATTTTTTTACTTTTAAAAATTGGTGTATCACAGCATCAGACAAAGATATGTTCTGACAAATGACAAGACTTTTACGGTACTTTATATTCCTCACTCTGCTGCTGTCTTTAGTCACTCTCCTCTACATGTTTGTTGTAATTATTTGTATCAATAATGTGTTTTCTTTGACTCTTCCAGAAATGCTCTAAAACTCTGTGTCATTTTTAGCAATTATGCTTAAACCTACATATATGACATTGTAAATTATTTATTCAGGTCAAAGTTAACTAAAGACAATAAGAGAGTTGCATCTGTCTACTTCAACAGTTAATTTCTATCGTGTTTGAGCAAATGATGTCATTTTATCGGGGAGTTATTTTGACTGGTCAAATTATTGTGGGGGTCATAACCCCCCTAACCCCTCCCCCTTGCAAATTACGCCTATGCTCTGAGACGACATTTGTTGTGACTTGGCACTATATAAATGAATTGAATTCTATATATTTTCATCAGGTAACATTTTTAGACAATGCATGTTGTACACGTACATTTGTATGCTGATGATATTCAATTATATTTCTCCAGTCTAAGGTAGCAGACTTTCTAATGTATGTTTCTGACCTCATTCAGGACAAAGATTGTGTGTTTTGGACCTGAGCATCTTGAAGGTATTATTTCACCCTCAGTACTAACGTACGGAAACATGCTGTTAGTCTTGATCTGTCTTTTAGGWGAAACTTATGTCTTATTTTGTGTTTGGACTTTTGGGGATATTATTTTCACTTTGTTTATAAGTATCCAGTGTAGTAAGACTTTTTTTTTGTTAGAATGAGGGATTGCATCTATAATAAATTGAACTCACTCTGCTGCTTTGAGAGCTATTGAACATATAATATGTGCTTTGTGTGTATACCGACAGACACAAACAGTGCTCCGACACCCAACGCTCTGGCAGTGTGAAATTGTGTTTGAGAATAAATATAAAAGGCAGGTCTGTCTTTGTATTCCCTCGCATGGGCATAGAGTAAACAAATCCTGGCTGCGCTCCTGCTGGCAGATTAGCAACGGAAAGGGAAACTCTATTAGTCATTTGACACAGTGATACCTCTGCAATTAGCCAGTCAGCTGAAGGGCTGCCTCGCTTAGAACAGGGCAGACTTTTTTTTTCTTTTTCTATAGCATGCTGCAACTGGGGAGCTCTTGGAGAAAGTAGAAGAGATGGAGGGAGGGAGGACAAAAAGATGAATAATAAATAAAAAAACAAATAGGGGATCAAGCCAATCCCAAAGGCTTTTCTTGTCTTCTCTTTCTTTCATCTCTGCTTCCATTTCTTTCAGTCACACTCTATCTCTGTCTTTCCTCCACCACTTCCATCGTGTCCCCTTTTATCTTTACCTCCACACAGCTCTTTGGAAACCTCCCTCATTTGCTTTGTCTTTCATCCTCCCTCTATCACAAATTCATTTCATCTTCTCCTCTCCCTGCCTTTTCTTTTCTTTTCTTTTCTTGTATTTTCTTCCCCCTGTCTGACGCTTGTTCTCCCCCTTCCTGTTGTGGTTGTAGTAGACTGTGTGATCTGAGCTGAGGACATGTCCTTCCTCTCGACACGCTTCAGAGCTCAGCACGATTACACAAAACCTCTCAGTACAGTTTATGCCTTTCTCACAAAACACTCACAGCAACACTGGAGCGCACAAACGTGTGCTTCGCATGTAAGTG